TGATCTTCACAACGACCCCTGGGGGGGTAGGTACTGTTATGATCTCCATTTTACAGTTGAGGATACTGAGGCAGACGGCAGTAAAGTGACTTTCCCAGGGTTGCCCAGCTAGTAAGTGTCTAAGGCCATATTTGAACTCAAGATGAGTCTTTGTGACTCCAGGCATGGTACTGTAGCCACTGTGCCACCTAGCTGCCCCTAGGGACTATCTTAGAGGCCAACTTTATTAGCCTAAAACAGCCACTCGTAGGGAGATGAACCCGTTGTCACTAGGAGTACTTCTTGAACTCCGAACAGATGACTTTTATATTACCTGGTAGGGTGAAGTCACAAGCTCTCAGTTCAAATTCCAGCTCCCTTTCTCACAACCTGTATGCCCAAGGCAAGGCCCTGAACCTCCCTGAGACTCAGTGTTTCTTCAAGTCTGTCAGCTAGGGTTACTGGTTCTTGTAGGGCCTCCCCTACTCACACAGTGGGTATGCAGTGATGGTTTGGTAAACCTTAAAGCTGTCAAGTCAACAAGCATTTATTAAACGCTTACTGTGTGGTACTAAGTGCTGAGAATACAAGTACAAGCAAAAAGAAGAACAGTCCTTACCTTCAAGAAGCTTACATTCTGGTGGGAGATGACACAACATAAAAGGTAGGAGGAAAAGGTACCCATGAGGGCCTGTTTGGAGAGGGAGGAGAAAGAAAGGAGAGGAGCAAACATGGCTGGCCTGGGCACTTCCTTAAAATGGAGCTTCTTGGAGTGACTGACCAATCAGAAGAAGGGGCTAAAGGGGCCAAGAGGTCCTCCAGGGCAAGAAAGCTGCTAGGGACAGTGGAGGAAGAAGGCCAGAGAGTCAGGAGCAGAGCCAGAGAAGGGAAGGCGTGAGCACAAGAGAAGCCTCATCACTATTTGTATGAGCTCTCCGCTGGCCGTGGGGTGAGTGGTTAGGAGCTGGCATTGAGGATCCCCATCCCCTGCAAGAAGACAAGATTCATGAGCCATGAAAGGCACATGTGAAGAGCCTACTGTGTGCGGGGCACTCTGGTTACAAATGAGCTCCTGGTTCAGGGAGACACACAGAGAAAGGAGGGAAGGAATGATTTTGTAGCCCCAATGCTAGGCTTACCAGAGAAACTCCTGTTTCATTAATGTTTGTTGTATTGAATTGAATCAATAACAAACCATGTGTGTCTGTCTGCCCTCGGGGCTCAGCTGGCGGGATGGAGAGTTAAGAGCTAGAGGAGTTGAAAGAAGGGAGACACCACTACAGGCTGGGGTGGTCACAGAAAACTTCTAGAGGAAGGGAGCTTTGAGCCAGGCCTTGAAGGATGTAGCCTGCTGGATGAGTGGTCAAGTGGTCAAGAGGGAAAGGCATCCAGATAATGAGCTGAAATGCAGAGGTAGGGAGGAACAGCCTATGTTCAGAAGACAATAAACCAGTTTGGCTAGAGCAGAGTAGAAATGTGGGAGGGCATAAAACTGGGAGGGTAGATTGGAATCAGGTAGCAGAAGGTCTTGAATGCCAGGGTGAAGAAGCTTAGACTTTATTCTGTAGGAAATGGGGAGCTATTGAAGGTTTTAAAGTAGGGAAGTGATGTGATCAGAACCATATGGAAGGAAGATGATTCTAGAAGCATGTGTAGGGTGGATCATGTCAAGAAGAAACTGGGAAGAAGATAACAATGATCTGTACTGGGGTGATGTGAGTAGCTAGAGGGTGCAGTAGATAGAGAACTGGGCCTGTAGTCAGGAAGACCTGAGTTCAAATCCAGCCTCAAACACTCACTAGCTCTCAGTTTCCTCATCTGTCAAGTGAGCTAGAGAAGGAAATGGCAAAACACTCCGGTATCTTTACCGAGAAAACCCCAAATGGGGTCACAAAGCGTGAGACATGACTGAAAAACAACTCATGACAACACTGGAGTGATGGCCTTTGAGAGTCACAGGGTGGGGACAAATTACAGATTACAAAAGACTTGGTAATCAGCTGGATGCCAAGGGAAAGGGAAGAGTCAGGGATTACTCGGAGAAGCTTTTAAATCTGGGTAAGAGGCAGTGTAGTGAGTAGATAGAATGCTAGACTTCGAGTCTGGAAGACCTGGGTTCAAGTTCTACCTCGAGCACTAGCTGTGTGACCTTAGGCAAATTGCTTTGTCTCTCTTGACCCTCAGTTTCCTTTGTAAAGTGGTGATAATAATAGCATCTACCTCATCGGGTTGTCGTAAAGATCAAATGAGATAATATATGTAAGGTGTTTTGCAGACATGAAATTGCCATATAAATGCTGATTGTCATTATTATTATTATTATCATTATTAATAGACTAGAAGAAGGATGGTGTGAATCAATCCACAATCATTTTTTTAAGTCTGGACTACAGAGCAGGTACTATGCTAGTTTGCTGGGGTTACAAAGACAAAATCCAAGACAGTGCCTGCCCTCAAGGAGCTTACATTCTTATGGAGGAGGTGTTGTACAAAATGTTCAGGGATATTAAATAGAGGCTAAGGGGTATGTGGCACTAACAACTAAGAAAACTGGGAAGGGCCTCCTTAAGGATATGTAGAATCCCATGAACCATAACTTTACAAGGAAGTCAGCCCAGGAGGGTCAGGAACCTCTCAGATATGGAATTCTGAAGACAAAGGACAAAAAGACCAGTGAGGAAGACAAATAGCCTGAAGAGACCAATGTGGATGCTCAGGAAATTCAACAGAAATAGGGAAGCTGAGAAGAGGAGAAGGCTGGGGTGTGGGGTAGAGTGAGGAGTTCATTTTGATGCAGAAATGGAACGTCCGTGGGGGAGGTGTCCAGCAACAGTTGGACACATAGGACTTGAGGTCAGGATGGAAGTGAGGCCTGGAGATGGAGATCTGAAAGTCATCCCCATGGTGGAAACAGTTGGATCTATGGGAGTCCAAACCTCCTTTGAGGTGGCAGGTATGACACAGGGCGACAATGGTCAGGAAACATTGATTAAGCACCTACTATGTGCCAGCACTAAACTAAACCCTGGTGATGCAGAGAAAGGCAAAAACACTACCCTTTCTCGCAAGGAGCTTCCAGTCTAATGGGGGAGGCGGCATGCAAGCAACTATGTGCAAACAAACTAGATAGTGGATACATTGGAAGTAATCGACACAGGGAAGGCACTGGCCATTCCGGGGTCCAGGACGGGCTTCCTGTCAAAGGTAGAATTTTGGTCAGGGACTTGAGGAAGCCTGACAAGTGGAGGAATAGTTATTAGGGTAGGGATGTCTGTTGGGGTGGCGGGTCTCACGTAGGGTGACCAGCAGAGAAAAAAGCTGTTGGGTTAAGGTCAGTAGCTGTGTCGAGCATGAAATCTCTGAAGGAGCCCAAAGAGAGAAAAGAAGAGGCCCAAGTACCAATCTTTGGGGGACATCTATGCTGAGGTAGCGAGAAGCGGAAGAAAAGCCGACAGAGAGGAACCAGGCCAACGGAGCCGTCATGGAAGCCATGAAATGAGAGAGCCTCAGAAAGGAAGAGGGGGCCCAGTTTCTAACTAGGGCAGAATCTTATCCCCAGGGTGATAACATGTAGAGGGTGCTGACAGCTTTTGTTCTCCTTTAGAAGGTAGAAACAACTGAGCTTAGCATCTAGAGGCCAAGAATAATTAGTTCAAATGGGAAGCCATCAGGCCTCCCAGGTCCTTCCCCCAGGGTAGTTCTGCCCTAGAGTGGTTGTACCCCAGGTGAGCTCCCTTTCTGCCCGGCCCTACCCTGCTCCTTCTCCTGGCTTCCCCAGCAGCAGCCTTAGTCCTAGAGAGTCTCTTCCCTACCCCCACCCCCATGGGATTTTTCCTGCTGCTTGTGCTGAGCGCCCATATGGGTAGCTAGAGCTTTGCGGGAGGGGGAGCATATCAGCTACTGTCTGGAAAATGAAGGGGATGAGGAGACAGAAAAGATCATTGGGTTTGGTGATTTCGAGCTGGGTAGTAGTCTTAAAGAGACCAAGATGTTAATTGTGTCCTTGTTGCCCATGTGACCTAAGGGAAAGGCAGATGACTATACCGGTCCAAATACAAACCACATTTCCCCCCAAACATGGCTGATTCCGGAACCTCAGTGTGGCAGATTTTCTTTTTCCTCTCTAAGAGAATAACATAGGTGTGCAGCCTATATTTGAGGGCAGCCTCTACTCCAGCTAATACGGTATGCATTCCTCCTTCCCCAGGGGACTTAAGAGCTCATCCACTTTTCACCTTCTAACCTCCAACTCCTCCTTCCTGAGTTGTTCCCTCCCACACCCCAACAACGGATGCTGCACTGCAGTGCCTGACCCTGGCCCAGCTGTGCCCAGCTGTGTGTGGAGAAACAGGACTGACTCTGGAGGAGGGAGGATGAACTCCCCCCCACCACCACCAGGGTGCCTGGCGCTGCTGAAATGGGCTTTGGCGGAAGCTGCCTGCTGGGCACTGAGATCACCATGGTGACTCTGTTTGGAAAGGGACATTGGCAGTGACTGCCAGTTGGTTGATGGGGGGGGGCTTGTAAAGAGGCTCCCAAGTGACCCCACTCCCTGTCAGGGGGCCCGAGGACTGAGTCAGGCTCTGCAGCAGGGCGGGATGCAGCTGGCTTTGGTGGTGGATGCTGACAGACTTCTGAGGATTTCTCCCAACGCTGACTCACCCCAACATTCTTTCCTGTCACCCAAACCACAGTACACCTGTCAACCCAACAGAGACATCCCTCATCCCAATGGTTTTCTCTCTAGTTATTAGCCATGTCCCCCCACCAGAGAACCCCCCAACCCCTGCTCTTCCTCTCCTCCTGACCTGCCACCAGGAGTGATAAACATCCCCCACCCCAAAAGCCATTCCTCTGCTTGCTGCCCTAGCTATTGTCAACCTACCCTTTGACAGAGATATACCCCACCCCCTGCTCCTCAATAGCTTTTCTTCCATTTGTCACCTTGTATTCGACCTGTTGCCCTGATATCAATCCTCCTTCTAACCCAAAGGCAGTTCCTTGCCTGTCATTTCACTAACCTGGCCTTGTACTCTCCAAACCAACATTCCTCCTGGGTGCCTGGCAGGCCTGACCTCAGCAGCACTAACAGCCAAACAGCCATCCGCATTGCTGAATGTCCTGGAGACAAAGAAGGGGATGCTGAGCTGAATTTGAATGTGCTTGGGCCAGAGAAGGTGGTGGGAGGAGTGGGGAGCAGACTCTGTCCCCATCCCTGCTCCTGATTTCGTCACTGTTCCCTGAGCGATGGTTCCTTCTCCAGCCCTGGGGCCATGCTGAGGGTTTGGCTCATGTGGCCATAGTCATGGGTTTAGCGCAGGCATGTTCTGACAGTGTGGGTGAGGCTGTCTGCTGAGGCCTCTCTGGCTTCTGGGAGAGGAGCTTCCCATTGTCCTCTGGGCTCTGTTGGAGGAGAGGAAAGGCAGGTTCTGGGGGTGGAGGCTTAGGGAGAAGGATGAGAGCTAGGGATGGGGGAATCAGTAAGAGGATAGGGCCTGAGAGGTTGGGAAAAGGGGCTCAGGGGAAAGGATTTGGGCTCATTTAGAAGAAAGATTGAGTAGGGGGAGGTGAATCAGAGATAGGGGCTCAGGGAAGAGGGTGAGGGTTAAGTGAGTAGGATGAGGGCTCAGCTAGAAGAAAGACTGGGAAAGATGGGAGGTGAATTGGAGATAGGGGCTCAGGGAAGGGTCCAGGGACTAAACTCTTGTTCAGGGAAAGTTCAGGGAAGAGAATGCAGGTTCAGGAAGGACAAAGGCTCAATGAGGTTGATGAGGGAGGTAGGGGCTTGGCTGGGGTGGAGGGGAAGTTCTGTGAGAAAGAAGAGGGGTCAATAATTCCCAGACCTAGCCTCTCCGTGTCCCCAGATTGGAAAAGAGTCAGCCCTTCTCTGAACCAGAGAAGAAGCTTTTTCCAAGTCTTGAAGCCTGGTAGCAAGGAGTGAGATTCCCAAGGAGCCCAAAAGAGGTTTGGGGGAAAAGCTGATGATGTGCGGCTATCCCAGGCCTCTAACAACCCCCAGTTGGATGTCAGATTGAAATATAAAGGCCAGACCCATAGTAATTTCAGATATTTAGGGCTAAGGGAAAACAAGTGATCAGCTCATCTCCAAGGGCAGGAACCCTGTGGGTTTGAGATTTGTTGTGCCTATTTCCTCAGTTTCTCTGGCATGACCAGTTCAGGAAATGCTTACTGATCATAATGGAATTACTGCTTCAACTTCAGAAAACATTATTGCCTATTGTGTACAGAGTACTGCATCAGCCTGGGAAAGATGTGAAATTTAGATGAGACCCTGTCCCCACTCCCACAGACCTTAAAGTCTAGTTGGGTAATAAGAGACATATACAGACAAATTTTTTTATGTACATGAGAATTACAAACCAAATGAGGTCCAAGAAGGAAAGGATTATTATTACCTTCTGACAGGGCTCAAGAAGAAGGTGACATTTGACCAAGGCCTTATAAGGGATGGGTATGTTTTCCACTGGGGGAGATTGGGTAGGGAAAGGGACAAAAGACATTCCAGGCATAAGAAATGACAGATGTAGGAAAGTGTTTGGGGTCGGCAGGTAAAGAGAGTCCATGGCAGGGTTGGGGAATAGGGTCAGATGGGACAAGAAATATGCCAAGCTGGCCTAAACATGGAGGGCCTAGAATGCTAGGTTAAGAAATTTGAATTTGATCTCATAGGCAGCAGAGAGACTCTGAGCAGAAAAGGGATGAGAAGAAGGAATAATAAGAGAGAGAGAGCAGCGGAAGAGAAAAGAACGCTGGCTCTTGAGGCCAAGAATCTGGGATCAAATCCTGTCCCTGCTAGGACTGTCTGGGTACCATTGGGCAAGTCTCTTTACCTCTGTGAGCCTCAGTTGGACATGATAGCCTTTGAGTCCCTTCCAACCACAGAGTAAGATAGTGCTGTGTGCTAAGAGGGAAATAAAGGCAGGAGAAAACAAGAGTCCCATTCCCCACCCCCCCACCCCACCCCAGGCGCAGCAGACAAAGAGAACTGAATCTAGAGTCAGAAAGAGCCTGGTTCAAATCCTGCCTCAGCCACCTGTAAATCTTTGGGGCGTAGCACAGTGTCTGGAACACAGTAGGTGTTTAATAAATGCTTGTTGACTGGCTGGCCTTGGGCAAGGTGTTTTACCTCCTCATCCTTAAAATGAGCCCTCTGAATCAAAGTCCTCCCAAACTTGGTATTTCCTCTAAGATTTACCATCTAGACAAGACCTGAGACATACCTTAGAATCGCTGGGTGGCCTGGTGTTTCCTTTCTCTGGGCCTCAGTCTTCTTAGCTGTAAAATAGGGGGAAATCATATTTGCTCCATATACTTACAGAGGTTTGGGACAATGCAAGGAAGTAACAGTTTCTAGGGAGCTTTGAAAAGGGCTACATAAATATGAGGGATTACATTGTATTCATAACTACTAGATAACAAAGCAACATATGAAGAAGCATGTAACAGTTCTTTGTGGCCTGTTTATGTGACTGTTAAGGGGGCACGGTGTGAAGAGTAGGTGGGATAGATGATCAGGCCGCTTCTTGGAGGAGGAGGGTTTTGAGCTAGGACCTATTAGGTTGACTGTAGAACCCTAGAACACAGGGTGTTAGACCATAAAATGTTGGAGCAGAAAGTGACCTGAGAACATAGAATGTCAGCTGAAAGGGGCTTGATGATGTAGAATGTCAAAGTTCCTAGTGACTTTCTCAGAAGGCAGATGGTTAGAACACAGATGTCAAAGATGGCGGGGATTTGGAGATGTGTGCGTTGGAAGGAACCTTGGTAGACATCTAATCCAACTCTCATTTTACAGAAGAGGCAACTGAGGCAAGGGAGAGGGTGATGATTTGTCCAAAGTCACAAATCTAGACAGACCAAGCCTCATGTCTTGACTTCTACTCTAGGGTTCTTCATTATTGCTTTTCTAGTACAATCCCAGACTGAAGAGTTGAAAAGTAGTTTGCTATAATCCAGACTTAGCATTTCCATAGAGGTAGGAGGTAGGGGTGGTATGGGCGGGATATTGCTATATGGCTGTTCTTAACCTCTAAGAAGGCCTAGTCCTAACCTCATGTCTTGTGTTTCCTCCACAGCTTTCAGAAACCAACGCCAAGATCCCTACCATCGTCCCCCACCTCCCGCAGGAGCAACTCACCTCCTCTGCCTCCCCTCCCAACTGCTCCCCACCCTGGAACCCCAAAGCCCCCTTCTCCTTTTCCATCGCCTACCCTGGACCCTGGGAACCCCTCCCCCTCCCACACACACACCCCCCTCCACGCAGAAGCGGAAGGTGAGCTCTTTCTGCACAAAACCAGCAATTGTAAATACTTTTTAAAAATGTACAAAACAAAACAGAACACAGTTTTAGACAAAAAAAAGACAAAAAAAAGAGCGAGCGAGAGATTGTGAGAGCGAGCGAGAGATTGCGAGCGAGAGAGGCCGTGCCCGAGCAGCTCCTCCAGTATGCACTGAGAAATTTATTTACAGGTCGTTAGAGAGAAAGGAACAATACCCTATTTATTGTATATACTGTTTTATTATAAATTGTGGATTGCATATTGCACCCTGTACATCTGCTGTGGTTCCGTGGTGTGCAAATACGCATGGTGGGGGGTGGGGGGATGGTTCTCTAGGGACAGCTTTTCTTTCTGGTTTTTTCACTCCTTTTGGGTTGTTTTCTTTTTTCTGTTGTTGTTGTTGTTTTCTGTTGGCAGGACACACCCAAAGATCCAAATTTGTATTAAAAAAAATTAAATGGAAAAAGCAAAAAAAAAAGTCAATAATTCTTGTGTTGGCAAAGTAGGGGGGTGGGGAAAAGTGGTGGGAGGGAAGGACCTGGGGAGTTTTCATTGGCCACTGGTTCCCCAAAATGGTTGCCCCCACCCTGTCCCTCATCCCATCTTCCTGGACTCTCCACCTCCAGAGTCAGTGCTAGATTTGCCCTCCCTCCATGTCTCACCACATCCTCATTCTCCAAATGCACAGATCCCCCTGCACCAAGTGTTCCGGCCCCAGGCTTTCTGGGGCTTCCGAGTGCCAGCCCCAACACTGGGTTTGCCTTCCCTTACTCAACATTCATCCAGGAAACATTTACCAAGTACTGACTGTGTGTAGAACGCTGCACTGGACTCTAGAGGAGTTGGAGATGGTGCCTGCCTGCGCTGAGTTTGCCATCTAGTAGGATGCCCTTGTCAGCCCAGGGCCTGGGTCTCCCCTCCTTCTGGGACTCCTGGATCCCTTTCTCCCAGGCCCAGCGACAGCAGGTCTATCTATCTCCAAGCCGCCTTAGATCGTCTTGGTCCATCCCTCCAAACCCCCCAAGTTTTCCATACACATAGCCCCAAATCTCCCCTTCTTCCAGGCCACCTAGAAGACTCCACCCCCACTTCTCCCTTCTCCAGGGGTGTGTGTGTGGGGAGGAGGGTCTGCTCCATTAGAATATAACCTCCTTGACACCAAGAACGCACTGATGATGGAGCTAGTGGAGAGGAGTGGATGGAAGCCTCTGGCCTCGTCCTCTTGTTACGACCCTAAGCCTGAGTATCTGCCCCCCACCCCTGGGCCTGGATTTTTGAGACACTCTACATCTAGAGCTAGAAAGGACTTTTTCAGCCATTAAGTCCAATCCCTCATCTGACAGATGAGGAAACTGAGGCAAGTGATTTGCCTGAGGTCACACAGGTAGTCTGAGGTGGAATTTGAATCCAGCTCTTCAAGACTCCAGAGCTGGTGCTCCTTCCACTATCTCATACTGAAAGCTTTTATTTGAACCATCTAGACAAAGTAAAGCCCAGCTCCCTCTTGATGTCCATTTCTGTTATTTCTTCCAAGGACGTGAGATGACCCAGCCCCTTCTACCCATCCCTCCATTTCCATCCTTGGGAGGAATTCTTGGGCTCCTTATTCCAGGCCTCTACACAACAGGGCCTTCTGGGACTTTTGTGAATTTAGGATTTTCCCCTGCCCCCTGGAGACACATTGTACTATTAAAACCTACTACATCTTAATTGGATTTTTTTCTTTGTGTTGTTTCTTACTGGAGAGAATGGAAGCTGGACCCTGGGAAATCCAGAGGCAGAAAGAGATGGAGCTTCTGCTCCGATGGAAAAGATAGCCCCTGCCCCTCATGAGGTCTGAAGAGGGAGACATGGCCCCTACTGTTAGTATTAAGGGAAAGACATCCCCTCATTGACTCTCCCTCCATTCCTATCATTTTCTGTGCCATTATATCATTATCCCCAAAAGGTAGTTTAAGTTCCTGTCTTCTGGAAGCTTCTTACCTGAGAAAGGTTGCATGGCCCCTCTCCTCCAGGACTCCCCAATCCGAGAGAGACAAAAGTCTGACTCTCAGGAAGATCCTGATCTTAGGAAGATACACAGCCATGCCCTCAGGAAGACTGATCTGAGGTGGGCAGCATCTTGCTTACTGAGACCATTCCGCTAGGTCCAAGCGAGGAGACAGCCCCTGCCCTCAGGAAGCCTCCAGTCTGGGGTCGGCAGGAGTCGTATCAATGATATTGGAGTATTCTCAAATGTAGACCTTCATTTTAGGGGTGGGGAGAATAAAGAGGAAGAAACTGATCAAAGGTTCAATGGAATCAGACAGGAGAGGCTTCTAGGAGGAGAGAAAACTGGAATGGAAAGCCACCCTGCGGCAGGAGGAGGATACATATGGTGGGTGGTGGTGGTGGTGAAGCGGAGGGTAGGTATGCAGGGAAATGAGTGAATGTGTCATGGGAGGAGTGTGGAGCTTGGGGAGGGGGGGCAGGGTGGGGTGGGGAGACCCTGGAGAAGGTAGGTGAAGGAGATGAAAAAGTGATTGGCATGGAGGGTCACTGACATTAGGGAGGCTGGGCTGGGGCTGCCATAGACAGAGGGCCCAGTGCCCATCCTGGCAGGCAAATGGGTAGGACCCACTAAAGGCTGAGCTCAGACACTGGGAACCTCAGGAGAAAGGACCAGAACTTCCATTCTCTCTGGTCAGACTGGATCTGTGGAGCTTCCCCCACCCCCATCTTCTTCCATCTGACCATGTCCAGAGGCTACCTCTAAGAAAAGGCAGAGAAAGATTGTTAAAGGCCAGGAATGGTATTGTGTGAGGAGGATTGGGGGACTTAGGGAATGGGATAGGGGTTCGTGGGAGGGAGGGCATGGGGGCTCAGGGAGGGAGATTGGAGCTGATCCAGGTGGATGGGGTCTCAACAAGGGATGGGAGTTCTGAGAGCCCTAGGGAGACTCAAGTGAGGGAATGAGTGATGGTTCTTTTTTGGCAGAGGGAAGTGTGGTGTGGAGAATAGGCACTCTGTGAGGGGGATGGAAGCTCAGTGAAATAGAGGGGGGCTCATTGAGGGAGGTGGAAGTTCAGTGAGGAGGATGGAAACTCAACGTGGAGGAATGGATTTAGTGAGAGGACTGAGAATGTTCAGTATGGGGATGGGGACTCAGAGAGAGAGAGAGAGAGATCTGAGAGAAGCTCATTGTGGCAGATGGGAATTGTATCGTGTGGGGGCTCTGTAAGAGAGAGATGAAGGCAAAGCAGGAGGATGAGGACTCTGTGAAGGGGGATTAGGATTTACTAAGAAGGTAAAAGACCAAGTGTATGTGGTGGAAGAGGCTCACTGTTTGGGATGGAAGGGGTTAAGGGCCGGGGAGTTTTCAGGAATCTCTCCGTGGGGGCCCTGGCTAAGAATTTCCATTCTTTCTGCTCACTCTGGTCTGGCAGGATCTGAGGGGCTTCTCCCCTCCCCCCCATCCCCTCCACCTGGCCACATCCTGAGGCCATGACACAATATGCTAGGGCCTTCCAAGTAGCCTTGCTCCAGCTTTATGCTGGAGGCCCATCCCAGCGGGAAAGGAAGAAGGGCAGCCCTCTGGCTGATGGGAACAGATTAGAGGAGTTGGAGTGTGTGTGTGTGTGTGTGTGTGTGTGTGTGTGTGTGTGTGTGTGTGTGTGTGTGTGTGTTAGCAAGTATGTTAGCATGCATTTATCTGTGTGTGTTGTGGGGGAGAGTTGCTAGTGGAAGAAGTGTTTGCAACTTAGGTGAATGGCTGCATAAAACATGCATGTGCCTGTGTGTGTGTGTGTGTGTGTGTGTGTGTGTGTGTGTGTGTGTGTTGCTCTCCAACAGTGCAATTATGTGGGTGGGTGTAACCAATGGTACATTCATGTATGTGTTTATTAGCAAATGTGTGTGTGTTGCATGTTCATAGGGTATTCAGTTTAAAGAAAGGGACCTTCCAAGACACCCTCATCAGACCCAGAGAACTGCAGTGATTTGCCTAAGGTCACACAGGAAATGAGTAGCAGAAGTGGGATTTGAACCCAGGACCTGTGATTCCAAATCTAGTACTCATTGTACTCTACCACACTTCCTTTCTCAACTGTGGGAGTTAGTATGTTATGTGACCATCGTTGTGTTTAAGCAAGAATATGTGGGTAACAACCTATGGGGATATCCCATTCAAAGTACATTTGAGCTGGAGTCAGAGGACCGGGCTTTGAATCTGCCAGCCTCGTCACTTTTACTGTGTGACCTTACACAAATCACTTACCAACTCTGAGCCCTCTTTGTATTGAGGGGATTAGACAAGGATGCTTTTCAAGGTCCTCTCTATCTTTAAAACTGATGTCCTGCGTGTGGCTGGGCAAAAATGTAGGTAGCATGTACCAATGTGTTTGTGAATAGTTTGGGGAGAGCTTGAGTTTATACATGTAGCTGTAATGTCTATGAGAAAGTGGGGTGTTCTGAATATGTGCACGTGACCATGTGAGTATAGTATATGTGGCTACGTGGCTATGTGCTATGTGGCACACATATGTTTTGTGTGGCCATGTGTGTATGCGGATGTGGCTGTGCCGTATGTGGCTATGTGGGTACGTGGATGGTGTTGAGGACTGTACTCAGTGGTAGGTATGATATGGGAAAGTGCATTGTTTAGTGTTTATACTGGAATATGACTGGGTGAGTGGTATGTGTGACTGTGGTATGTATGTGTGTGTGACTTCATGGTGTGTGACCATGTGTTTATCCATATGTGGTTCTGTGTGAGAGGTGCTGGTGCAAGTATATGTGTGATGAGGGCGGTG